AGTCCTCGCCGTTGGCTGCCATGCACCCTCCCTCTGTCCACTTCGGCCACTGCTTCAGAGCAGAGCCTGCCAGCTCCTTCACCCAGTTCCCGGCTGCGGTGCCCTCCTTTGGCCCTGACAGCTTCAACTTCAGGGATCTTTCCATGAAACGGGCGAGGGCCGACTACTTCACGGCCGTCAAGCCTGCTGCTCGGCCCTCGCCCACCGTCTCCCTCGCCGCAGACCTCTCCCAGAACTTCCATATCGACCAGAGGTGCGTCCTGATATATCCGGGGCAAACAACCAGTCTCTTTTCTTCTTCCCCTTGTTTGCTTGTCTTATCTGACTTCTTTCAGTCCACAGTTGGCTACGCCTCGCAGGTCGCTGTTTTCAGCTAATCTGTTCTGCTCGGAGAATGGTATATACACCCCCCTTCCCATTGTGTCTCCTATATATATATATAAAACGAAGGGGCCTCGGGGCTTGGGATTATATGGTATATAGAGGCTAATGACCGTGGTAGATACAATAACAACCCCGCCGATACCCTCCTCTCCTGCTCCTACAGATATCATGGAGATGTCTCCGCTGCCGCACAAGGCCCCCTTCGGCATGGCCCTGGATCTAGAGTCTCCCACGATGGAGTTGTCTATGGCAAAGTCCCAGCAGTCCCTGTTTCTGTCTGATACTTTGCAACAGTCGCCTATTGAGCCTAGCCGGTCATCCACGCCGTCAGAGTGAGTCTTTTTATATATATATTAGTGTCAGCTTGAAAACGGTGGTATACTGACTGGTGTGTTTAGACGCCGAAAAGCTCCAATGCTGAGACCGTCCCTGATGCGTACCAAGGCCTACAGCGCCTCAAGGCCGCCCCTTGCACAGCCACCGCAATTCAAGTTCCTCGCTGGCGGCAGCAAGCTCTCCACCTCCACCCCAATCTCGCTGGCAGAGATTTTCGAAGATGACCCAGACAGCCCCTCCGTGGCTCGGAGCAGTACCAATGGTCCTCCGGGCCCGCCACGGTCACGATCGTCCAGAGCACTAGCACAGGTACCAGAAAATGGCTCTCCAAGCTACGGTGCCATGAGAAGAGGGTCTAACCCCTTTTCTCGCCCGCGGAAACTCAGCAGACGCTCGCTTAGCATGTTTGAG